CGTTGAAAACCCTATGGAGCGCAGTTCTATTCTGACACACATGGGGTTGCCTTGAGTTAGAATCCACTCAAGGGCAGCTGGACAAACCCTTCCTATCCTTCAAGAAACCTCAGGCATCCCTCTGTTGGGAGCTGAACTATCCCTCCTCCACATCCCCACACCTAACTGTCTGCATCTCTAATAGAGTTCATAGCTCACTCTTTGCATTTAATGTTATCTAGGCACAAGTCTCTCCTCCCCGTGCCTGTAAGACTATGAACATTTAGAAAACACCTTGGCTTTTCTATTGCTAATAAACCCCTGCTGCCCAGCATAAACAGGGTAGGTTCTCAATCAACGTTTATTGAATTTCCACCCCAGTCTCTCCTAACCTACACAGAGCAACTTGCCCGTAAGTAGAAGAACATGGTGTGAACTTTGTTGTTGCAGGTTCGCCATGTGCACTGCCCATGAATGCGACCTGGAAGAAATCCCCCTGGATGATGATGACTCAAGCAGCATAGAATTCAAAATCCTGGCCTTTTATGCCAAACACCACGTCTTCAAGAGCACCTCTGCTGTCTTCTCACCAAAGCTGCTAAGAACAAGAAGTTTGTCCCAGAAGGGCCTGGGGAGTTGGTCAGCAAATGACCCATTGACACTGGGGCCGAGGCCTTGTAGAAGTTTCCGATCCAGTGAGAAGCCCATTCCCAAGAAAAAGACTTCTTGGAGAACACTCTTTGGAGTAGGCGAGAAGGAGGAAGATTCTACGGAGACCCATTTTCAAGGGGGTCAAAGACCAGTAGAGCGTCAGGGTGTCCTTCATTGGCAGCACTGGTCTAGATCCCTTTCTGATGTGGAACAGCGCATAGAGCCAGAAGGTAGGCTTTTGGAAATTCTATCACCCACTCAAGTCTCTCCCTTCTTCGTGCGCAGTGGTCGATCTCCCATCTGGTAATGTGGTGTCACCACTAATGTGTGGCCATAGGCAGGGCATTCATTGTGTCTTAGCTTTCCCATTTATTAATTTTCAGTAATAGTTGCCTTACTTTTCTCAAGATTGAACAGAAAGGAAAATGATGGCAGTGAAGGGTGATGGGACTGATTTTCCAGCTATAACCTTACTGCCCAAATGTCTAATCTTCTGGGAAAACAAAGTAAAGAGACAGGTTCAGACTTATGCTATTTTTGAGGTAAGTCAACTCACCTCTGGACCTCTGCATTTCTGTCTGAATGTTGGGGTATTCCCATCCTCCCTATCTCTTAGGGTTGATGGAAAGATCGGATAGACATATACAAAAATACTTTTAAAACCCAATCTTAAAAAAAAAAACAACTGAGAAGCATTTTGACAAAATCTTCCCCCACAAAATAAATTGAACTTTGTGAAAATAAAGCATTTTCACAAACGACTTTATCAGGAAGACATGTTCTTTAGCATAAACATCTTCACCTTCAACAATGCCCGGCGCCTAGGGCACAGATTTTAGAAGAAAGTTTCCCTCCTACCAGATTTGTTCAGCCTGGGTAGCTTGTCAATAGTCAACAGGTGGCAGTAATGCTTCAACTCAAAATGCTGTGATGGTCCTGACTTGGAAAATCAAAACACACATGGACAACTTTAGATCATTCACTACAATCAAGGAAACTTGCATTTCCTGTTAGGGAGTTATAGAACAGGAGGAGACAGGGATTATCTGGGGAATCTTATTGCACAGATAATGTAAGGAAATGGGAGTCCCACAGAAAGGACTTGTCAAAGGAAAGCTTGTCCCACATTGACTCCCAGGGTAGAGTCCAGAGGATGGATATCCTTTCTGTCCTCTCCCCACCTCCACCCAATTTTCCTTTGCCTGTCAGGTGGCACTAACTCTAAAAATTAGAATATTCAAGATGGAAATCTTAGCCAGAGCAGTTCATCTGGGCCAAAATGTGGTTGCTGATAGTTTTTCCTGCATGTATTTCGTTTGCATCCCTTGCTCCATGCCCACAGCCTCGTAGGAATCAATAAACCATACACACGCTGGTCGTATGGGGTCCTTCTGTGCCTGCCACTGGTCTTGTCATTGCCCTGCCACATGGTGAGGTGGTGGTGGTGAGGAGGGACAGCCTTGGGGGTATTCATCTGCCTATTTTGTGTGTAAGATGGGCACGGCATGACTTGGGTGGGAGAGCTACGCTCTGATCACCCTAGCCAGGCTGCACAAGACTACAGAGGTAGCAGCTGTAAGCTTTCCTTTCCCATCTCCTGCAGACACTGCAAGGGAAAGTTCCAGTCGGCTTTGGGAACCAGTCTCTTGCCATTTCCTTGCCAGGGGCCGGGGGTGGCTGGTGCTCAAGAGGCGGTTGGTTGGGCTGCAGTAACCAAAAAAAAACACTAAACCCATTGCCATCAAGTCAATTCTGATTCATAGTGACCCTACAGGACAGAGTAAAACCGCCCCATACAGTTTCCAAGGAGCGGCTGGTGGATTTGATAGTGGAAAGTACATCTGGTTTGGTTGTTAAAATAGGAGGGAAAGGCACCGCTCCTTCTCACTCTTGCTCACTCGCTCTCTGTCTTTCAACCCTAAAGACTGAGCGTGAAAAATATTACTTTTTAAGCCACATGTCCACTTAAGGAAGACTTTATGGAAGAGCATTGTCTCCTGTGGCCTTTCAGTGAATACCCAGAGGGGTGGAGGGAGCGCATGGCTCACGCTGGGGAGGGAGAGGCCCAGGGAGAGAGGATCAGACACCACCTTGGCAGCTCAGTAGCAGTCCTGGCCTGTGTCTCATGTGATACCATCCTTCCCAGGACCCAGGTCTTGCCTCTCTCATCTATTATGATTTACAAAGCACATGAGCTCCCCCTGGGAATCCCAACCTTCCAGCCCAAACCTCACTCCATTATTGTTTTTGTCTTGTGAATTAAATAGTGTTATTCTTTAAATGGAGCTCTGGTGGCACAGTGGTTAAGAGTTTGGCTGCTAACCAAAAGGTTGGTAGTTCGAATCCACCAGCCACTACTTGGTAACTCGATGGGGCAGTTCTACTCTGTCCTATAGGGTCGCTATGAGTCAGAATCAACTTGATGGCAATGGCATTTTTTTATTCTTTAAACATTATGTGATACCAAGCCCAGCTACTCAATATGACATCAACGACAGAGCTTGCAAAATCTTCTAAAAGTTAGGAACTTAGAGACACATCAATAATAACCTAATTGCTGGTTAAACAATAATTTTAAACAACTCAGCAATACCATCTGAGCCATGCTACCCCACCAGAAGCAGAGGCAAAGCTGACTTACCTTCCTAGGTGCAACATTCAGGGGAACCAATGCCATTTAAACCTTTATGTCCCCAAATGCTTTGCTTTGTAATGATGTGTGTGTGAATACATGACCTCACTCTTTTCCTGGATTATAAATTCTTGAAGGCCATGGGTTCCCCTTTATGCATCCTTGTTTACCCAGTAAGTATTAGTTGAATATGAGTATATGAGCAAGGGGAGTTAGGTGTTTACTTACTAGGGAACTTGGGTGATGAATATGGGCTGAGAGCAGGGATAGTTCTCTTTCCTCACTGCCCAACCCCCAAAGGCTTGTCAAACTATTGAATGCCCTCCTATGCACACAGGGGCCAGCTCTCTGAGGTATAAAAGATGTTCAAAAAGAAGAATAAAAATAAAAGCATAATGAGCATTCCCTCAACCAAAGACCTAAGAATTCCCTTTTGTGTTTCTTCCCTTGCAAAGGGAAAGGAGACCCTAATTTTGCAAGACTTCAAGAAGAGGGTGCAGAAGGGCAATTGTTTCAAGGTGACAATCATTCCTCTGTGTGCTCCTCCCCCATTCCAGACTCTGCCAGGCAACTGCCAGTCCTGTCTGAAGAATGATGCCCCCCACCCTCCACTCTTGGGCAGTTTCCTCTCATTCTGGGCTGGTCTTTTCATTCAGAGCAACTGTGCATACCAATGAGCGAGACAGAGAAGTTCTTCTGGAAAGGGTCTCTCAGCACCATTTTTATCTCGTTTCAGCTGGGAACCCCAAGGTTGTTGCCATTGCCAACCGAGTTGCTGAAATTGTTCATTCCTGGCCACCGCCAGAAGACATACACACCCAGGGAGGAAGCTCCAAGGACACGTGTACCCCCTGGCTGGTACCAGAGGCCCAGGGCTCCAAGCTTAGAGGCGCAAGTGCTAAGAAAGGTAAACTTTCCTTTTGAATGTTTGTGTTGAGTTGTGTTTATGAGACAGAGGTGTACGAGCATTTCCATATTCATTCAGCTCATGGCTCTGCTACTGGGGAATCTCTGCTGACCTGGACTAAGGACATGACAACAGCATGCTGGAGGCACTGAACTCCAACATGAGATGCCAGCTTGAGCCCAACAAGGGGACTGCATCAGCATGTTCAACCAACATGCCAAGCTCACTACGAAAAGAGAAGTCTGCTGAGGAATACGAAAAAAACAAAAGGCCTGCATTCAATCTTGTCCCCAGGGGGAAATGTAATATATCTGATCATATTACCCATGACCATGGTCCAGTTTGCTCATGGGAGTGCATTGAGCATCACTGGAGCATCAGCGAAGGGATTCATAATATTGTGTTGAGCTCCTGTGAAAAAGACGGATTCGTCAGACACCAGGTCTTCTGCAGAACATGAAGCAGAACTGAGACGTAGCGGCCAGATTGGGTCAGTTGTCACTGTAACAGCAGCACTAGCTAAGACTGTAGATCCCATGAGTCTTGTAGGAACTCTGGGCTAGGAGGGGAGAGTTGAGGGAGAAAGACAGGAGAGCCTCAGTCTTGTCCCCTCACTAATGTTCTGCAGTATGATGGCTTAGAGAGCCCAGAGCTTGCTTGTGGCTCCCTCCTCAAACTCCAGGGGAAGATGTGGGGCAGCGGTGGCTCCTGGGTTTGCAGCACCCCAGACCACAAGGCAAAAGTTCTCCCTCCAAAGGCATTGGTGTCCCTCCCCACCGGCTGTGCTGTTGGGGCCAGTTCTGGGGGCCATCACAAACTGCCACAATGACTTAGAGATTGAAAGTGTGAGGAGCTACAGGAGAAGAGGACCTCACTGAATCTGCTAAAAAAAACAAATGTTCCCACTCTATTTGCTATCTCAAGTGTGTCTGGGAGCAATACCCCTAAACCAAGCTAAAACTGAGGCTCTTCATGCACATGGGACATGGAGGCAGCTGTTACAGCCACTTTCCCAGAGAGAGAGGCAGCATATGATAAACACGTCCCAGGGGCTCTGGAGACGTGAGTTCTTTCTTCTCTCAAGTGACTTGAGATTCAGTCTTCCCTCTTAGCTCTGACTTCACCCTTGATTTACCGGCCTCTCTTCCCCTCGCATCTAGGACAAACGCTATGATTTCAGAGATTACGCCATAAGTAAGAAATGTATTTTCTCAGAAACTGGCTTTCCTTTGGATTCTTTTCTACAGCAAAGACGGTCTTCATCACGTTTCAATGTTAGCAAGTTTTGAGACAAGAAGAATAATACTCTCCCTCTTCTGTCTCAACATACACACCGCCCACCGACTGAAGCCCTCTTCGATCAGTCTGCCATCTTGGCTTTTTGGGGTGGGAGAGTTTATTGATTTTATTTATTTGTGCACTACTTTGTTTGGAAAACATAGCGTACAAAGAAGTATCAATTTTAGTAAGATAATGGGAATCGGATTTGAGAGAATGTAAAAAAGAAAAGAATAGGAAAATAAGGTGGGTTTAGGAATGAGGTTAATTCCCAAAACACAGGCCAGAAAGACTAGATGTGGGTCACAAATTTGGCTCGACACATTCTCACAGCTAACACGAAGAGAGGAATGTGAGCAAATATGTGATTTCCGGTGTCCATGAGGAAAAAAGCACCAATCGTTCAGGAAACACCCAGAGACCAGACGGAGGTTTCTCCTAAATATCTTCATGTAGCGGGACTGAACTCTACAACAACCTCCTCAGTGTAAATACAGAGATGAATTTCACGGTGAGAATTAGGGGACTGAGAAAAGAGTAGAAGAAGAGGAGAAAAAGGAGGGGACTGTGGGGGAGGGTGTCTGGAATGGTTTGTGCCTGATCAGAAGAGATGAAGTAAGATTTAATATGCTAAGAATTAGAAAGCACGCTTCTTCCTCCATCCCGAACCAGGCCACACGTGTGGCCACTGGAAAAATTTAAGGGTTTTTTGTTTTTTGTTTTTTGTTTTTGCCTCTCTTGAAAGAAATAACCGAAATTCTCCCTTGACAGATGGAGAAGACCAAATAATAGCCAAAATTGTTGAGCTGCTGAAATATTCAGGGGATCATTTGGAAAGAGAGGTATGAAGCTTCTTAAGCTAATGTGATTTCTTTCTGCGCTCATGCACTGGTCCACAAGGATGGAGTTTACTCCAGGCTGCAACCTAATTCCTTCTCAAAGTTCTGGTTTCCACTTAGTCCTAAATTTTATTTCCCTTGGAGTCAAAATTCTTCATGCTGGCAGTATCTCAAAAATGAATCACTTTGGAAAACATAAGTAAATCTTCTGAGGCCTCCTTGGAATTTTTGGAAATTAAAAAAGTAAGTTTGTTATTGCAAGAAAAGACACCAGTACCTTAAAAATTGCTGAGCAGCATTATTAATCTAGTTCCCCATGTAACTGATCCTCAGTGAAGTTGAGACTCCTGCATTTGCCCTACAGCCTGCAGATCTGTGTCCCACGGTTGCTCAAAAGCTTGTGTCTTTCTGAAATAATCTCCCTCTGTAGTTGCTGAAAAGGAGCCCTGGTGGTGAGTGGTTAAGTGCTTGGATGCTAACTGAAAGGTCGGCAGTTCGAACCCACCAGCGGCTCCACAGGAAGACGATGTGGCAGTCTGCTTCAGTAAAGATTTACAGCCTTGGAAATTGTATGGGGCAGTTCTACTCTGTCCTATAGGGACACTGTGAGTCGGCATCGACTCGATGACAACAAGTAAGGTGTAGTTGCTGAACTGTCCCTGCTCGAGGTCTCTCTAAGCATCCCAGCCAAGGAGGTGGGTTACTTGCAGAACTTTTGGATTTCCTGCCATTTAAAAGGCGAGGCCCATCCTTCCGGTCAGGAATGGTGGTGGCTGTCAGATAAAGCGTTGGTGGCCAGAAGTGGCACCATGGTTGAGACCAGAACGCCCTCAGACAGGTCACCCTGGCTGTCACCCCGGGTTGCTGAGTAGTCTCTGTTGTGGTGGTGGTTGTTAGCTGCCATGGAGTCGGTCCCCCAAAACATGGCGACCCCATGCACATGGAACAAAACGCCGCCCAATCCTGCACCATCACCCTGATGGGGGGCAGAATGGACCATTGTGATTTATAGAGTTTTTCAGTGGCTGATTTTCAGAAGGAGATCCCCAGGCCTTTGTTCCTGGTCCATCTTAGTTTGGAGGCTCTGCTGAAACGTGTTCGGTGCCATAGCAACACACCAGCCTCCACTGACCGACAAGTGATGGCTAAGCATGAGGTGCCCTGGCCAGGAATCAAAGCCGGGTCTCCCACAAGGAAGGAGAGAATTCTGCCACTGAACCACCATTGCCCCCTGGGTGGTTTCTGGGGTCTGTCCATTGAGTCAGCACTCCCATTTCCTCGTGTTTTCCAGGACCCATGGGGAGGAAGTCAGACCCTGTGGGGCTTTTGCAGGAAGGGAAGAGCACTAATGGCCCAGTGACCCTGCCGCAGTCCCAGCATGCTCGGTGGCTCCTCTCTTTATAGCTCTGTCAGACATGTTCCCCGGGGGTGGTAACCAGGAGGGTGACGGGCATGGCAGATGGTGCAAAGTGAGAAACAGCTGAGAAAACCTAGACTCAAAAAAGAAAGGAGGGTGTAAGAAGTTTGGGGCCACAAGTCGGGGAGCAGAGGGGTGCAGAGGAAGTAGGAAATAGAACAGGGTACGTGCTTTCAGGATGGCACCGTGTTTCTCCTAGATTAGTGTCAACCCGTAGTTAGGAAGCACACCTTGTGAAGAAGTGAGCTCCCCGTCGCTAGAAGAATTTCAAGTAAATGCCAATAACCAGTCAGCAGTTAAGTATCTGAACTGGAAGGGATTGATTAGATATCCTCAAAGGTTCAAGAGATACCTTTGCACCCCACAAATCACCACTCCAAAAAACCTCGCTTTGAGGTGTGCCCTCTCAAGATACAGAGTGATATTTTACATTATTTATGTAGAAAATGGAGATGTTATTCCCTTTATGCATTTACCCAGGAAACGACGCTGGTAGGAACGCACTGTAGACCCGACCTGTGGTGTGTGGGGTGTGAGTCCTCTCCACAGGGTGGAAAGTAACCATGGGGAGAGGACACCTGGCTGTGGCTGCAGTGTGCCCTCAAAACCACTAGTCCCTGAGAGCACATGCAGGCCCGCAGCCTCCTCCTGCACCCCCGGGACTCCCAAGAGCCAGGCACGACTGAGAGGAAAAGGAAAGGGAAGGCAAGCTCTGTGGAAGGTCTGTGGGTCCAGCTGCCTGCTGTGGTTTTGAGCCTACCTTTTTCAGTTGGCTCTCTGAAAAAGAGCAAGAGGAGTCCATTCTTGGTGTGGAGACCACTGGTCATTCCTGTTTCAGATTTATACTTCAGATCGGACCCTTGTGTCTCATGGAATTTGGGAGGTGAGCTTGGTTCAGATAAAGCACACTGAACATCCACCAAAATCTCAATACATCTGAGTCATCCTCAAACTATCCCTTTTAGGAACAACATTTATTGAAAAACTGCTTAGCTTATTACTCCTCGAGGACAAAACTAGAGGATTTTGCAATAAACATTTAGTCCTTGCACCCTAAGAAATTCCTATTTTCTCGTTGCAACCTGGTGTTAACAGATGTTGCAAGGATGATTTTAAATGAGGGTAATATATACCTTTACCCAAACCAAACCCATCGCCATCAAGTTGATTCTGATTTACAGCAACCTTATAGAACAGAGTAGAACTGCCCCATAGGGCTTCCAAGGCTGTAATCTTTCCTGAAGCACATTGCCACATCTTTCTCCTGATATACTTTCAATGGCATAAAAAACCAGAAAGCCAAACCAGTTGCCATGGAGTCAATTACAACTCATGGCAACCACATGTATGTCAGAGTAGAACTGTGCTCTACAGGGTTTTCTTTTTCTTTCTTTTTTTTTATTTTGTTGTTGTCATTAAGAATATACACAGCAAAACATACACAAATTCGACCATTTCTTAACATACAATTCAGCGATGTTGATTATGTTCTTCGAGCTACGCAACCATTCTCACCCTCCTTTTCTGAGTTGTTCCCCCATTAACA